CTTGCACTTCTCACCTCAGGAACGTGCACTTCTCACCTCAGGAACGTGCACTTCTCACCTCAGGAACTCCCTTTCTTTCTAGCTTGTCTTACACTTATAATCTTAAAAAATTTAAGCATAAAAAAGATGACAGCAATTGATGTTGCATTTAAATTTTTTTCTGAAACCTATTCTTTTATTGTTCTTTCTCCTCACTAAAGTCTTATTCTTATTCTTTTCTCTCCCAGTAAGCCCTTGCGTTTTAGTGGCATTATCATTTTGCTTGGGGTGAAATGTTTAAAAGAAAATGTAGGTTTCTTAGCCAGAAAGTATAACTGATTCCAATTAAAAAGTGCTTAGGTTGGGGCAGAGACACCTGAAAAGTGTAACAGTCGTCTATACAAACAATCATATCGTGGTTGAGGCCCTTAAGATATTTGTTTCATGTTGATTAATTCTCCCCCCTTGAACCATCTTAAAGTTAATTTAGATGGCTTGTCTTAATCCTGTTAATCTTGTCAAAAAAGCTGAAAGAGGCATGCAAGGTCATACAGCCAAAATGGCATTCTTCATAATGAGATCAATAAGGACTCTTATGTCCTACTTTTGGGTCGGCTCTTGAAATGGTGATCTGCCAGAGGTCAGTATTCCAGCCCACTTGGGTAAAAGCCAGCCTCTCTCTCTCTCTCTCTCTCTCATATATATATATATATATATATATATATAATGAAAAAGTATGACAATTATTTTAAGACATTTTTATGTTTAGAAAAAAACATTTTTTATGTTTATCTATAAAAAAGAATGTATAAACATAAAAATGTTTTAAAATAATTGTCGGACTTTGTCTATTTCATAATGTGTGATGTCATTTATTTACATTTGAATACGTATTGAGCAGATATGAATGTATGAGAGAAAATCATGGAGAGTTATAGTTTAAAAACAGTAAAATTGACCTTGCTAACCGAATGATCCTCTGTGGCTCAATCGGTAAAAGCACATTAGGCTATATGATGGTTCCGTATAGGATACAGGTTCGATTTCTGCCAAAGGACGAATATTTTTTATGAGAATTTCTTGAACATTCAGGCTGGTAAATGTTGTTAATACTATTTATTATAAACAGAGCATTTACTTAAATATTTCTATCTATAAAAAAGAATGTATAAACATAAAAAAAATGTCATATATATATATATATATATATATATATATAATTTTTTTTTTATTGCGGGTAGTTGGCAGTAATTTCTGTCTTCTTTTAAATTGAAGCAGATGTATGAAGTGCTTGGATATTAAAATACCACATATAAAAATTATTCTTAATTTAAAGCTACATGTTATATTTTCAGCATGTGTAAAATAATTTAAGAAAAAATTTTTTAAACAATATCCAAAGTAATAGTTTTACAGGAATAAACAATCAGAATAGAATTATTATTTTTTGGTTTGCTTCACTTTATTTTTTTTTTTCTTTAAAGTTTGAATATATATATATATATATATATATATATATATATATATATATATATATATATATATATATATATATTATTTATTTTCATTTATTTACTTATTTACTTTTTCTTTAAGTTTGAATTTTATTTTATTTATTTTTATTTATTACTTGATTTTTATATATATAAAATCATTATTATTTTTATTTTTTATTTTATTTACTTATTTATTTTTTTCTTTAAGTTTGAATTTTTATTTTATTTATTTATTTTTTCATACCTTTGAGAAGTCATATCTCCAACATTGTTTGGATGTTCAAATCTGTGTTTTGCTGTTATTCACACATTGTCTTGGCTGATTCATTCTTCAGCCTTCATCATGTATAATGCATGAAAAAAAAAAAAAACACCAGTAGGTAAAAAAAAATTATTAATTTATGTATATATTTTCAATATATGTATGTATTTTATTTTTTATTAAACCTTAAAATTAAAGATAATGTAAAAAAAAAAATTGATTGACCAATAATCTTTTTGATTTTAAAAGATGGGAAATATATGAACATCTCAACGACAAAGCTGACTACAACACTTGGAATTTTATTTTATTTGAAGATTGTGTCAAATGAGAACTCAGTCTGAATTTCTGGGATGAGGAGTTATTTACACTATTTATATCTGGACTATTGGTCTCATCTTTGTTATCACAACATTTCGGCTGCTGTGCTTTCTTCAGATGTATATCAATCTGGGTAACCTACAGGGAATTCTGAACCATTCTCATTACACTGCCCATGTCTAGGGATATCTCATCTAGCTCTTATTTTTGGTACTGCTTCATTATTGCTTGCCTGTTTCCATTGATTTCAAGTACACACTCCCTGAACTGGGGATACTAGTGGTTGTGAGTTCAATCCTTGAGTAAGGCTTAAAATAATGACTGGTTTTTGCCTGTGTATTGGCAAAGTGATCTGGTAATATCCAGAGTCTAATTGCTGAGTTAAAATTTTTTGGTTGGTTTATTGATTTTGTTTAGTGGCATATCTACATCTGTATGGGTTATTTAGTATGTATTGTTGGTCATTTTTAGCAGCATATCAAACTATATGGGTTATTTAATGCCAAAATCTAAATATTTGGAACACAATTTTATAGCTTCAACTAAATATATTTTGAAGGCTTCCACTCCATATATGTATTGTTGATCCTTTTGTTTAGCCGCATGTCAACATCTCTATGGGTTTTTTAATGCTGAAATCTAAATATTTTGCATGCAATTTTATGCTTTCAACTACAGATATTTTGTACATAATTTTATACTTTCAGGGCAAACATGTTTTTGCCCTGAAAGTAGATACATTTAGATGTATATAGTTTGTAGATTTAAAAATATATATAATTGAATCCATTACATTCACTTATGTGCTAATAACCTTGGGAAAAGTATGAATCCTCTTCTCCCCCCAGCTATGGGTAAATAGCAGGACAGACTGGGTTCTATAGCCTTGGATGGCAATTTTTCTAGAAGGAGGATAACTCTGAATTCAAAACCTGTGGAGAGTCATTTGAAAACCTTGTGGCACACGGTGCACCAGGTTTCTGCATTTGGCTCTTCGAAAAAAGGGTGGCTGGTTCTGTACAAGCCTCACCACTCTAAACAAATTTTCAGTCCTGTGTTCAGGATTGTTGTCTCATACGAGACCTAAACATAAAAAAACTGAACTGAAAAGACGCACAAAATGACAGGAGAGTCCATTATTTTATTTATATATATATATATAAAACTGGTAATTTCACTACAAAAAAATTTTATTTTTTTTTTTTTTTTTTTTTTTTCATTGTTGGTCATTTTCCTATAACAATGTATTGTTGGTAAATATATATTTTTTTATAAAAATATATTGTTGGTATTTTTACTGTAAAAATGTATTTTTATTCTTTCCTAGTGTTTTGATTTTTGTTTGGGGGTTCCTTATTTGCCCATAGCTGGGCCCCTAACAGATTGCTGACTTCAAATGTCTTTGTGTCTAATTAGAAGTGAAATTTCATGACCTTGCAGTTATCAATGCCACACTTTTTTTTTTTTTTCTCTCTCTCGCCTAGAATGTAACAAATTTTTATCATGTGTTTGTGGACCACTCAATGGTTGCTTTGTTAACTAGTAACCTATTTAACACCTTATCAGATCCATTTTTTTTTTTTTTGCTTCACCTAAGATTTCACTTTTGTAATAAATTGTTTTATAAATTATATAATATAATTTTTCTTTTTTCTTTTTACTCAATTTATAATAATAGTTGGTCACTTTCGTATTCAAGGATACCTGTTTACTAGAGCAGCTAGCCAATCCCTATTGCAGACGCTCGCTCAGGCACATTTGTGTGTGTTCAACACCTACAGGCAAACTGTGGTTTATATGGCAACTATGCTGAGCAGACTTTAGTTGTTTCTGCATGTTATCTAGCATGATCAACAATCTGAACAATGCCAGCACACTCAAGAGTCAGGATGACTTGTGACCGATGCTAGCACAGCATGGCTTCAAGTGTTCTGTCTACACAATTCCACTACCAAAGTTTTCAGGCACTTCCCAAAAGGTGTTTTGCGCTGGGATTGTCCCCCTTACAGACTCATAATGTCAAAGTCTTTCTTGCCACATCAACCGTGGTGAGATTTGAACCTGGGTCTCATGGTCCAAAATGAATGTTATACATATATATATATATATATATATATATATATATATATATATAAATAAGTTTTTTTTTCAAATTTTCTGGCTACTTAAGACCACTTTAATTATTCATTTTGTGCTTTTTTGTCCTTTTCAATGATTTTCTGACCCCTTCCACTTTTTAAAAATAAAACACCCCTTATTGCATATTGAGAAATACTGTCTTCTCTCCTGAGTATTAAGACAACCCCCAAAACTGTATTTGTCATCTAAGACTACACAAGGCTTCTTTGTGCTTTGTACCTTCAGGACTTTAGTAATCATAGCTCTCCCAAATTTCCTGTCCTTTGTAGCTCTTTATAGATTTTGGCTTTTTTTTATCTCACCTAAACCCTGTTCTTCCATCCATTTACACAAGCTTGTGTTTGTTCTACGTGCCGTGTCCCTTCAGGACATTGGCAATCATGGCTCTCCGCCATTTCCTGTCCTTTGTAGCTCTTAGTACATTTGTCTTTTTGCTATCTCTGTTAATCTCTGTTCTGCCAACCATTTGCACAAGCTTGTCAGGTACGTTACTTGCTACAATCTCCTGTCCTTCTTGCCTTCAGTATATCCTGTGAGTGTCAAATTCTCCAAGCCCTCTTTCTTCATTAAGTGCTCTAGAAATTTAAACTTTCTGATGTTAAGTATAATTATCCTTCTAGTTTCCATTTTCTCTAAAACTTTGTTGTTGCTCATATGTTCAGTCCATGGTATTCTCAGCATCCTTCTGTAGAACCACATTTCTGTTTCTTCATGTCTTTTCTTCATCTGTGATGAGATTGTCCAACATTCACTGCTATATTTATTGATATTACATAACAGTTCAGTACTCTGTTGTTAGGGTTTACAGCCATATCATGTTGAAACACAGGTTCCCATATGATCACCGAGGTTAAGCAATGTTTAGCCTGGTCAGTACCTAGATGGGAAACTGCTTGGGAAAACCAGGTGCTGTAAGCTTGGATGTGCAGGTGGTGTAATGAATAATGGCTCAGAATTGTTAATCAGACAACTGAGTTTCAATTTCTATTGTATTTGTTATATCTTTTACACACTCTTAGGAAAGATATGAGTCCACCTCTTCTCCCACCAGCTATAGGTTAATTAGTGAGACTTGCATCACTAAACCATTATCCCCCATAGAAAAAAATAATTCTTACAATCTAAAAATATTTTCTGGCTTTAAATAACCTGTAATGGGTTAATAAACTGTAAAACGAATACACCAACCAAAATCTCTTATCAAATCAATAATATGCCCGTGAGAAACCTTGAGAATATCAATCCAAACAACTCGGAGAATAATGACGATTGTCTCTTTTCTGAATTTCAGGTATGAGAATATAAATGTAGTTACAGTTGTACTTTTAATCAATAGATCAAAAGTTACTTAGAGCAACAATAGACAGGAAGTTGTGGTGAGCCATGATCACTCATATCCTGCAAAGACAAGGTTCATAAAATTTTATATATATATATATATATATATACACACACACACACACACACGATTAGGTGTGGTTGAATTGTTATCACTGTTTGACCAAGCTGAGAAAATATGGTATAAAATACCTAGTTAGGTACAAACTCATCATCAAAGGTTTTCAAAATTATCACATTATTGTTTAATGGCAGATATCCTTTTCATTTTAAATAAATCATAAGCTATATATATATATATATATATAGGAACCATAATATATATGAATATATATACTATAATAAAAAAGCATATGAGTATAGAAGCCATAATAAGGAATGCGTATGAATGTAGACACCATAATAAAAAAGCATATGAATATAGAAGCCATAATAAGGAATGCGTATGAATGTAAACACCATAATAAGGAAAGTTTAGTAATATAGACACCATAATATATTGACAACTTGACTATACTCAGGTCCTACCACTTCACACTAGTATGTTGGTGGAGTATGTGTGTGGAGGGGGAAATAATTGGTGTATCAGTAGCGTCAGTAACAATAAAAATTAGTACTACCTTTTACTACAATAGTAGTTATTAGTGCTCTGGTAATAATGGTAATAACAATGTGAAAGGATGAACTTTTGTAGAATTTTATTGTAACTGTCATTACTAATAGTTATTAAGTTGCGTTGGTGTTTTTGAATTTCTGGGTTCGGCTATATTATACACCCACCTCTTTTTCTTTAAGGTTTGGTTTATGGGAAGCTCATAAGAGAATGTATCAAGTGTGCCTTGTAAGCAACTTGTAAATAGTAGCTATACAGGAAATGAATTAAATGCCACAAATACTTCTTCCTGTTGATCAATACACCTGAAAGTGGAATTACTGAATAAGATAAAATTTTATTTAACTTAACTTTGCCTGACACAAGGCCACTTGTGAAGGAGCGCTATGTAGATTGAACTCCTTTCAATAGTAATGATATACAAAAAGCATATAGCAACAGAGATTAAGTCTGTTCCTGATTTTTATTTTTCATTTTCTAATTAGACACAAACTTTTGCAATGATCTAATATTTGGTGAAAAGTCTTGTTTTTTGTGGCTAATATAAGTGTCTTTTAAATTAAAATCAAATTTCATATTTTAGTAAAATTTATCATTTATTACTTGATATACCCATGAAAATTTCAGTTTTCCTATTTGATTATTCTCATGAATATTAAGTTAAAGATAATACAATAATAAAATATTTGTAGAAATTCACCCTATTGCATCATTAAATATTTGAGATCAGCAACTTTAACAAACTATTCCAATAACAATCATAAATATGAATGTTGGTCTTTAAGAAGTAAGGGGGTACAAATGAAGATTTGAAATTGATAACTTTTCCATTTTGCTGAAACTATCTTCCCTTCATTCTTTCTCTCATTTTTTTTACTGAAACCAAGCAGTGTCTGTGGTTTCTTTCCCTTCCTTCTATGCAATCAAAACGGATCACAAACTATTGTCACCAAATTCCTGAGCTAAGACTTTAATCTACTAGGCTATTGTACCTTAGGATAATTCTGAGTGGAGAATATTGAGCCTTAAACTTAATGTACCTTTTTTTTTTATGGTATAATATATATAGATACCATAGAATAGATAGCACATTTCTTTTATCATTTTACCCAAGCAAGGCAACAAAGCCAGTAAGTTGTAGAGGATTACTGAGTGTAGAAGAATAAAAAAAACAAAAAAAAAATATTAAGGAGCGAGAACAATAAAAGAATAGAAATTGAGAAAAGATGGAAGATAATGATTGACATTGCACTTAAATTTTTGAAGATCAAATTTGACTGGAAGGCAAGAACCCAGGAGAAATTTCCACAGTGTTAAAGAAACTATTAACATAGAGCTTATGGCTACATCTAGCGGCCATTTCAACTGTAAAATGATGAGACCTTGCCGCTGATTTAGTACTGTAGTTAAATTCATTGAGTCTAGGCAACATAGAGGAAACTTCATCAGAACAGTTGCCATGCCTTCAATATGTCCTGTTAGTATCACATTTTCTAAATCCTCTTTCCTCATTATGTGCGCTCTTTCTGATGTTAGGTATAAGTATTGTTTTTGCTTCCATTTTCATTAAAACTTTGTAATGGGTCACATGCTCCACCCATCATCCTTCTGTAGAACAACATTTCTGTTTCCTCAAGTCTCTTCTTTAAATGTGAAGAAATTGTCCAGCATTCACTGCCATATAGGAGGACTGATATTATATAACAGTTCAGTACTCTTTTCTTTGTTTCTCTTGCTTCAAGTCTCTTCATCTGAGATTTTCCAGCATTCACTGTCATATAGGAGGACTGATATTACATAACAGTCCTGTGAGTATCAAGTTTTCCAAGCCTTCTTTCCTTATGTGCCCTAGAAATTTGAACTATCTCTTTCTGATGTTTATTAGGGTCCTTTTTATTTCCAGTTTCTCTAAAACTTCATTGTTACTCTTATGTTTGGTCCATGATATTTTCAGCATCTTTCTGTTACCTGTTTTTTGCAATTTTAGTTTTTACCTGATATTTACCAACATCAGATGCTGGTAATTTTTTTTTTTTTTTTTTTTTTTTTTTTTTGTTGGATATTTCAAATGTTCATTATCAGCTCTCTTATCTCATACCTGAAGCAGGTGTACTTTTTCAGCTCACCTGTGCAACATGATGCGATTAAAAGCTGGTCTGGGGTTGGGTGTCAGAGAAATATGTTAAACCAAAATGAAAAAAATATCAGCACATCAAATCTAGAATTGTCACCTTTTGACCTGGGCATCAGTGTGTGAGGTGTTTGGGACGCATTTGGATTAGAGCTTAGTATGTAAAGGTCCTCAGGGTGAGAGCGAATCAAAAGCAGGTGCCTAAAATAAAACAAAGGTTTTCACCTGCTACTTTGACTTAACCGTACCTGACCTTTCATCTGTTAATTTTCATATTTATTTTCCTACTAAGGGAACAGGGCTAGTAATTAGTAGACTAATTGCCTGGGATTCAATCTTACAAAACTAGTTTTAGGTCAGTTACAGTAAGGAAACTGGTATAAAAATAAACTTTATTTTACAAATTATGAGGTCTTGATTGGTAAGTAAAGTCTCTAATCCTATAAAACAATTTTTCCTCTAGCTTGAATAATGGAGGCATGGTGGAGTAATAGATAGTGGCTTGGATTGAGGAGTCGGAGAGACGAGTTTGAATTCCAGTCAAAACTTACGTGCTAATATCCTTGGGAAAGGTATGAATCCTCTTCCTCTCCCACTAGCTATAATTAAGTAACAGGGCAGATGGGGTTCTATAGCCTTGGATGGCAACTGGTCTACCGCAGAAAGAAATGGCAACCTACTGCGGGGAAAAAATCTGCCTCATCAGTCATGTATTGAAAGATACATGATCGCCTATGCATGTGTCATGCATGGCACATGACTGAGTGAATAATGAAACTAAAAATGAAGTCACTTTATTGACATAATCACTATTTAGTGTGATATATTTATTTCCCAAATATTCTTACTTTTTCTTTTTTTTTTTTTTTTTTTTTTTTTTTTCCCCCCCACTGTATGTTTTTTTTATAAATATTTCCAACTTTTTCCCACTTTATCATTTTTTTGTTTTTACCCCAGAGAGAAAAAAGTGGGAGGCAAAAAATTTTTTTTCATTTTTTTTTTTTTTTTTTTTTTCCCTCACTACCCCCACTTTTTACTCCACCTCTCTTCCCACATTCCCCCTCACTCGCTTCACCTTTTCATCACAATTTACCTTCCCATTAGTTTTTTCTTTTTGTGCTGTACAAAGGGTGTACAATCATTGAATTTCAGGCTTTGTTATAAAATCCACCAAACTCTACAATTACAGTGCAAACTGGTATTAATCATGTTTGAGTAGAATTTTATATACTACAAAATACATGTTCAAACAGGTTTCTTATCCCCATTATTAGCAAGGTAAGGCATATGTGAAATGAGATTGGAAAACGATGGAGATTTTGTCAATGACAAACAATGCTGGCGGAGAAATAAATGAGACTGGATTAGGACTGATATTAGACCAAGATGAAAGAAATGTGTTCTGGGATACTGCCAACTATCTGAAAGAATTCTTGTTAAACTGAAAGGAAAGCCTTTAAAGATATCCATCATAATTGTATATGCACTGAGAGCACAAAGTACAGAAGAAATGAAAGTTTTACTGTACATTAGACAACGCCAAGGCTCAATGCAAATTGCAAGTAATTATGATCGTCATAGAAGACCTGAATACCAGAGTAGGCAAGGAGGAAGATTGTGAAATAGTTGGAAAATTCAGACAAGGAACTCATAATGAGTGCAAAAAGGAATGAACCCAATGGCGCACAGTGAATGGTCAGATAGTCACCAACACCTGGTTTCAAGAACATCTAAGATACATAGAGAATCCTAGAAGAAACAAAAAAAAAACCCCAAAAAACAAATCTGCTATGTAACTATCAATAAGAGATCCAGGAATGCAGTTTTACACAGC